TTGAGCGGTTTAACATACCGGAAGTCTTGCTTCTGGGAAGTCACTTGGCCGCTTAGTGATTGCTAATAAGGAGGTTGTAAAAGACGTTTTTGCTCGTCTTGAGCAAAGTCGGAAAAAGCAGCTGCGACAATTTGTCCCACTCATACGGAACGTGTGACGCTATTGCCTGGAGAAAATTGTACTTCTATCCTTTAAAGTAACCGTGTTACAAGAACTCATCGTCCAGACTTGCAAAGCCGTCTAAATTATTGCATGCAACTTTACGAGATGGCAACGTATTCGAAATCGTTTACACACCATTGTCGAATTCCGGGCAGGTATAGAAGCTGCCGTTTGAAACATTACGCAACAGCACTTGCATGCCGGCTTCGAAAACATGAAGAAAAGAGTGAATCCATGTCTTAATAATGGTGGCGAGTTATAGTGTGCATGTAATTTACCCAATTACTTTGATATTAACGAGTTGTAAAAGAAATAAAATCGTTTCAATTTTTGTAGTAATTTGTTATTCGTGTAGTTCCACATAATTTGGAAACTTACAAGATCGTTGATTTAGGTTAAATATGGTTAAACGTCAAAAGTTTACTTTAAGGTTATGTTTTAGTATTGGTGCACCAGGCCTGTTGCGGCAAATGATTACTAACGTCATAATTTATTGAAGCGGCGCAGCAACTCAATATTGATCGCACTGTACATGTTGCTGCAGGTTATATGTTGATTATTAAAGATTGATCGATTGTCGTAACTACGTGTGTCGTGTAGTTTAGGTCTCCCTCAATTTTTGTAATATTCCATGTAACGTTATGAATAGTCATTGTTACGTTCACGTTTTACTGTATTCCAGCTATGTTTTTACCAAATGAGTAAACGCTACCTTTGTAACGCTTTTGTGTTTTCTCGTAATTCAAGGATATAGTATAAGCATGAAAACTGAGTACAATAGTAAACACGATGTTAAAAGGCCTCCGTAGTGAAACACAATCTATTTAATGACAAACTTTACAAGTTTTTAATTGTAGCTTGAGGGCAAATGCTTTATGGCTGTAAGAATATAATTTGCAAAACGGCACGTATAAAAAGGTCGGAGGAGATTCGTCTTTTCCCGACACTAAATGTCCAGGGAAGCAAGACAAAATGTAATAATGAGTTAGGCGTCAACCTAAGGTGTGCCGTCATCTGCTAGATTTTGAACGGAAAATATTTCGTTTCTGATTAACCCACATTTTGAGTATGCGGTCAGTTTTCCGTTCACAAAGCAACGAAGTTGTTAACTGAGGGAATTTCACTCTGAGCCATTAAAATGGAAATGTCGCCAAAAGAGATACAAAATTACACAACTCTCTTATCCATACAAATTACTACACGGAAGCGCCTTCAATCCCTATGATTTGACACAAATCGACTTTTACGTTCCACCATATTTTATCTGTGCACGTGTCTCCTTTTCTATACTCTTCACGCGTACAACTTGACTTGTTTTCCTAACTATTGTGGATATGCAGTGCCTTTATAAATTCTATATATGCTTCATTTCATGTTACTGTCTTTCGTGTCAGCATCCATGGCGCAACACGCACATTTTATTTTCGTGAACTCCCACACAATTATCATAGCCTATACAATCATTGTTTATTATTCAGTGCTACAATCTTCCATCCCCTTGCATATGACTAAACTGTTTATTCCAAATGGGGTTATATTTCATTTTCTAAAAAAACACCAGCCCATCTATAAGCATGCCAGATAAAGGAAATGACAGTTGGTTATCATAGATATCATTGAAATAAAAGACTGAGGTAGGAGGGTTACATACATATAACCACAGAGTAAGGGTACTCTTTGGTTCTATACTACTCCGGTATTTACCTGACGAATTAGGAAAACTGCAGGAAAACATAATTCGGAGTTTATTAGAAACACATGAAGGCTTATGAACTCGTTCACAATTATCCGTATTACTTTGCTCCGGGTAGGAAATTTATATGCAATTTACTGCAGTCGTTCAGTTGATTTAAGCAATTAATTCACGATTCATATAAAATAGAATTTTAACTCTTGCCGAAAGCAGATTCTGGTAAACTATTATCTTAAAGTGTCTCTAGATAACAGTCACCCGAACCATCACTTGCTTACAAATGAGATCACAAATGCTCGTCTAAATAGATGTAGAACGATAGGAGAAAGAGCTATAGAAGAACTGAGACACTTAGAACTCCATGAAGCAAATTTTGCAGATTTGTCTAAAATAGTTCGAGGCAGGCTTGTAAAAGCTCAAATAAATGAGCGTTGGAGTGACCAGTGGAGGGCATCTGACACATTTTTGAGGAGGGTCAAGCCGAGCCTAGGACCACTGTTTCTTGTTAATGCGAATCGTTCCGCTTTGATAAAACTATATAGACTCCGGCTTGGCCATACTGCCTTGACACATGGTTTTTTGTTGGCCGGTGAAGATCGTCCTCATTGCGTAAGGTGTGATGTAAACCTAACACCGGAGCATATAGTTTGTGTTTGTCCAGAATACCAAGATGCGCGTAACCTCTATCAAATAAGTGACATATGGGAAGGGAATTTTAGCTCTGTACATAAATGCTCAGAAGTACTGCGATTTCTAAGCACCATAAATGTGATAAGTAAACTGTGATAAAATGTTTGTAATATGTCCTATGACTGTACGTTTGAGCTGAAAATCTGTGATATATATGTAATGCATACTAGCATCTTAAAACTGTGCTATCTTAGCTGCTATAAGTAGGAAATAGATCGGCAAATGGTCTTAGGCCGGATGTCCACCGCATCGGAACGACCAAGATCGGTGCGATTTGAATCGCTCGATAAAGATCGCGCGCGTGTGCTCCTATTGAAGCCTGTCCACAGGCTCGATTTTTGTCGGGACCGATCGAAATCGCAACCGACTATTTTCGCCCGACCCGACGTTCTTGAACGATTTGTCGGCAGTCGTGTGTCATAATAATCAAAAGTGCTGGTAATCTTTTTTCTACCGTCACACATCTTCTGTAATTGGTGTCCCTTTTGGAAATTAATGGTCGAGCAATGTCAGCCAAAGGAAAAAAACTACTCTTGGACATACGATACATACATTTAAATTTGTGTTCATGATTCGCAAGTTCATGGGCACAAATGAAAGCACCTCTGTATCTTTTATTAGTTATGTACGGAAGAACCCAATAACTGTGGTGGTGAATTATCTTTTGCCTGTGGTGCAAAAGCATGACAACTGCTTCACTTAACATTTTATTTAATGTCAACTGTCAACCCGATAAAAATCGTTCGAAAGGCGATCTTCCTATGGACATGAATTGCCAATTTTAGTCGGCCCGATCAATCTGGATACGACTACAGTTGAACCGATCTTCGTCGCCCCGATTCGGTGAACATCCGGCCTTAGAAGCCGAAGCCTCAGGTGGGGTTTTAGCGAGGGTTTTAGTGGGTATGCCCAAATAATGGAAGAGTCCCACACTACTCCAGACCTCCATCTGGAGTGTGCGTAATGCATTTCCCCCCCCCCAAAAAAAAAAGGTTGTAAATTTTTTAAGAATTAAAAAAATGTGCTATTTAATTGTTTGCGTTTTGTCCGTCCGTCCGGGCCCACTTCTGCCATTTCGAACTACTTCTAGGGGAATGGTCCTAGAGTCCTGGAATTTATATACCTATACCTTGAAGGTGTACCAGACGGCCATCAAATTTCGCTATCTAAAAGGGGGGCCCCCCATGAATTATTTCCTGAGATGCGGTTTTTGAATGTAAATCGTGCATAACTTTTACATACGACAACCAATTGGTCTCAGATTTTGCATACGCATGCCTTTAGTGGTACCAAGTGAAACTTTAGAAAATGGGGGGGGGGGGGGGGCCACATGTTCTACCTTTCATGGTATTCTAATGAAAGGTCTCATCGAAATAAATTGGTTTGTACAAACTATAACTTTCCCGTGCGACTCTTTTTCGAGATCAGTTTGCGACGGGGTCCGAGGGGGGGGAGTTAAACATTAATTTTATCTCTCATTGTATTCTACTTAAAGGTTTCAACGAAAGGAACCGTTTTCTACCAACTACTGCCCTTCTTTCTGTTCTCTTATCAAAGTACGGGGTGGAGGGGGAGGGGGAGAGTGGAACTAGTTTTATCCTTCATGGTACTCTAATGAAAGGTCTCAACGAAAGGAATTAATTTCTACCAACCATACCCCTCCTCCTCGACCTCTCATCGTGATAGGGTATATTCCCTTATACCTCAAGAACGGATTGTCGGAAGAGGTACTCACAAAGGGCGATTCAGACAGACAAACAGAAGCTATTTCGGTTTAAAAAAATGCGCTTTATCTGCACAAGAGTGCACAATTCATACTTGTTTATACTTCTTTGATATTTTGACGAGATCTTTGAATTGGTAACTTATGATCACCTACATGTATGTTAATTTGAGCAGATAGACACCCCAACACACTATTTAAATGAAATTTGATACATATGCACAAAATTTATTTATGGATGCACATGCACCCAACTGCTTAGTACAACTGTTCAACTAGATCTTAAGACAAATTCACCGGAAACGTGTGAAGGGTTATCCGTTTTGCGTCCGTTGATTTCACCGGTCCGTTAAAAAAACGGATCGTGTGAAAGGTCTCTAAGGAATTAGGAGCTTATATATGAGTCGTGTTCGTTTCTCCTGATTCAATCGATTTAAGTAACAAAAGTGATCGTACGGCGCTCGTTTTCGTTTTAATTAGTACACCTCCACCACTGAAAAATATTACTTCAAAGTGAACGTAGTAATTATTAGCTAGGATCACGGTCGTATACAGATCTGGAAACTCGAGGATGTTTCCTATATGAGAAGTGAGGCTCTTACGCGTCGCCGTCACGTAGTACAGTACCATAAAGTCGTTACTGGTGGAGCATGAGTCGAGGGATGTGCTGTATAGTAGCGACACCCGGCAACGCCGCAAAGTGAGTGACAACCTCGACAGAGCGGGAAAATGTAAGGTCGTCGGCCGATGCAATATGACATGTGTACTTGTAAATGTTAATTGTACATGTAATGTGTGATGTAGTTAATAAATGGAATGTTATATCGCGAGTAAGTAAGTAATGTACTGATCCAGGTTACAACAAATTGGCGACGAGTCGGATAATTTTCTTTCAAAGAAAAAGTGCGGGTGAAGGTGCAACGTGCAAGTCAAAGGTCGTGTTCGTGTTAGATTAGAATTAGAAGGAACGTTATAAAATGGCGAATTTGGTGGGCTCAATTGAACAGTTCGACGAGAAGAATAAGGGCGATTTTGTGTCGTATATGGAAAGGATGGAACAATTCTTCTTAATAAATGACTCATTATCAACAAAGCAATCCGCGTTATTTATCACCTTAGCTGGCCCCCAGGTGTACAGCACATTGAAAAATTTAATTGCGCCAGAAGACCCCACAAAAAAGTCGTTTAAAGAAATTAAAGAAGCGTTACTTAAGCATTACGCACCCACGAAGTCTGAAACGGCAGAAAGGTTTGAATTTTATAAAGCTACCCAAAATCCAGAACAGTCAGTGTCGCAGTTCATTATGCACATAAGGAAACTAGCAAATAGTTGTAATTTTGGGTCGTTCTTGGATCAGGCATTACGAGATAAATTGGTCTGTGGGATAAGCAGTGAACAAACGCAGCGGCGGTTGTTATGTGAAAAGGATCTTACGTTTTCAAAGGCGTGTCAGATGGCGATTGCAATAGAGTCGGCAGAGAACCAGGCAAAAGCGCTAAAAGGTGGTTTGGTAGAGAAAGTTACGGATCATGTGTCGGAGTCCAGTCGTAGAAGTGTGTCAAGTCAGTGGCGTCCCAAAGGTCGTGGTCAGCCCAGTATGTCAAGCACAAGTCAGCCCCGGCAGTCCGGTCGAGGGAAGTGTCGTCATTGTGGAAGGTTCCATGATGAATCCAGATGTCGTGCGAGGGATTGGAAATGTTTCACATGCAATAGGCAAGGTCATACGTCAGTCGTCTGTTGGAAAAAAAATGGTGTCAAGTGCGTCAACGAAGAGGAGCAAGAGACGTCTACAGAAGAAGATGAAATAAATAAGATAAGTACACTTGTATGCAATAATGTAAAGTCAGTCAACAGTTCTGCGTTGTTAAAAGAAATGTTAGTTAATGATAAGCCAGTATTAATGGAAGTTGATACCGGAGCGTCAGTTACAGTCATGTCAAGTGAAAAATTTAATAAACTTTTCCCTTTGTTAACTTTAGCTGAGCATAAGGCGAAGCTTAGGGGTGTATCAGGACAAGAATTGAATGTATTAGGTCAAGTAATTGTGGATGTAAAATTAAGCAGTCAAGATAAAAATGTATTTAGATTACCGTTAATCATCATTGATAATGAATGTAGGTATACACTGTTAGGAAGATCCTGGTTGGATATTTTGTATCCTGATTGGAAAAATTGTATTGCTAATATTAACCCTAATGTGTCAGAATTGTATGTCGAGAGATTTAAGAAAGATTTTAATACTGTGTTTGATGTTGACAGGTTATCCTTCATAAAGGATGTACGAGTAAAGCTAGTGCTAAAGGAGAACGCAGTTCCCATTTTCCATGCCCCTTACCGAATTCCCTACTCAATTAAGGAAGCTGTGGAGATGGAATTGAAGGAGATGTTGGAATCTGGAGTTTTGGAGAAAACCAAGTATTCTGAATGGGCGAGTCCAATTGTGGTAGTCCCGAGGAAATCGAGTAAGAAAATAAGAATTTGTGTCGACTTTAAAGTAACCTTAAATCCTAATTTAAAAACGGAGCATTATCCTTTACCATTATGTGAGGATATTTTTAATACAGTATCCAAAGGCAAATACTTTACTACATTAGATTTGTCGAATGCATACCTGCAGCTGCAAGTCAGTCCGGAAAGTAGAGAATTGCTTACTATAAATACCCATTTGGGTTTATTTCGATTTACCAGATTACCGTTTGGAATTACGTCTGCACCAGCTATTTTTCAGTCAGTAATGGACAATATTTTAAAAGATATTCCATCATGCGCGTGCTACATTGATGATATCATCATATCGGGTCAAACAATTGATGAATGCAGGGACAATGTCAGGAAAGTACTTGAAAAATTGCAGTTACATAATGTCAAGGTTAATTTGAGTAAATGTCACTTCTTTCAAGAAAGCATTGAGTGTCTTGGTCATGTAATCGATGGAAACGGTATACGTCCGATGAAGGCAAAAATTGATGAAATTTGTTCGAAAAAACCACCTACGGATTTAACTCAACTGAGATCATTTCTGGGATTACTCAATTATTATAATAAATTTTTACCTATGGCCTCAAGCGAACTAAAATTATTGTATGACTTAGAAAGGAAAAATATTCCCTTTGTTTGGACTAACGAACACCAACGAGTGTTTGAAAAATGTAAAAATATGATTGTAAATAGTAACTTTTTAGTGCATTATGATGTCAAGAAACCCATAGTAATTGCAGTGGATGCTTCACAGTATGGAGTAGGAGCTGTAATGTCTCACCTAAGTGATGGCGTCGAGCATCCAATAATGTTTGCATCTAGTACCTTAAGTAATAGAGAGAAAAATTATGCACAAATCCAAAAAGAAGCCTTGGCGATAATGTTTGCTGTTAGGAAATTCCATAAGTATATTTATGGACGGAAATTCACGCTAATTACCGATCACCTACCACTAAGAACAATATTAAATGTCAAGACGGGTATTCCAACGTTGGCCACGTCAAGATTACAAAGATGGGCGTTAGAATTATCCGCATATGACTACGAAATCAAATACAAAAAAGGTAATGAGAATGCAAATGCTGATTTCTTTAGTAGATTACCTTCGGAAAGCATTTTAAATGAGGATGTGCTATCATTCTCAGAATTTAACGAGATACCATTATCAGTTACTGATGTTAGCATGTCTACAAAGAAGGATAAGGTAATAGCTCGTGTTTTAGAATATACCAAAAAAGGATGGCCAGATAAATTACCAGATTTAGGATTGAAGGATTATTTTTCAAAACGTCATGAGTTAAATATTGAAAATGAATGTTTATTATGGGGAAATCGTCTTGTTATTCCATTTGATCTTCGAGAAAAGGTGTTGGAAATACTTCATAGCCAACATATAGGAATTGCAAGGATGAAAATGCTTGCAAGAAGCGAAGTATGGTGGCCTAGTATGGACCTACATATTGAAGAACATGTTAAACGATGCGAAATGTGTCAACTACATCAAAACAAACCCATTGATGTACCGTACACACCGTGGTCGAAAACATCTAAATCCTGGAAGAGATTACACATTGACTTCTTACAATTTAAGCAATATCATTTCTTAATTGTTGTGGATAGTCATAGTAAATGGTTAGACATCTATTTAATGAAACATGGAACGGATTCTTCAAAAACGATTGAAAAATTGCGTCAAAGTTTTTTGCATTTTGGAATTCCAGAAGAGATTGTTTCAGATAATGGTCCTCCATTTTCAGGAGAAGAATACAAGAAATTTTGTTCATCCAATGGAATAAACTGTTTGCTAACTCCACCACTACATGCGTGTTCGAATGGTTTAGCTGAAAAAAATGTGCAAACAGTCAAACAAGCGTTACGAAAGTCCTTATTAAACCCGAACAACAGTACGAAATCAATTCAATTAATTTTGGACAATTTCATATTTAAGCATAGGAATACACCATCAGTATCAACCGGAATTAGCCCAGCATCCATTATGTTAAAGCAACAGCCGAGAACAAAATTGACAATGTTAAAAACAAAATTATCAAGTACACTGAAAGAGAGGGAAGAGAAAGTAAAGATTTATGAAGATAGGAGAAGAACTAAGTTGCGAGAATTTGTTGAAAATGAAAAAGTGTTAGCCTATATTATTCAAGGGAGGAAGCCTGTGTGGATGGAAGGAGTAGTTATGCAGCGAGTCAGTGCAGTTACATATCTAATTAAATTAAACGGGAATATAAGACTAATGCACGCTGATCATTTGAAGAAATCGTACATATCAGAAAACATTACGTTGCCTTATGAAGACTTACCAGACATCCTAATACCTACCGCACACGTTGCCTTATGAAGACTTACCAGACATCCTAATACCTACCGCACAAGAGAAGCCATCAGAACCATTGATCGCACAACCATCTACGTCTGTACCTAAACCCACTGTACAACCTTCGCTACCCTTATCACATCCTGTCCCACTGCGTAGATCAGCTCGAGAAATAAAAGCTCCCTCAAAGTTAAATTTGTAATGTAGATGTTTTGTCTTATTTTTAGAAGGGAGAAATGCTGTATAGTAGCGACACCCGGCAACGCCGCAAAGGGAGTGACAACCTCGACAGACGGAATGTAAGGTCGTCGGCCGATGCAATATGACATGTGTACTTGTAAATGTTAATTGTACATGTAATGTGTGATGTAGTTAATAAATGGAATGTTATATCGCGAGTAAGCAAGTAATGTACTGATCCAGGTTACAACAAATNTGGGTCGGAAATCTAAAATAAGGGTGCCAGAGCCAAATTTACCTTCTGGAATTTCGCGCCTGTAGTTAGGCAACCCAACCGGCCGGCGGTGCACACGGAGCGATCTCAGGCGGCGATGTGTGGCTGACACTTGATCAGAATTTTGTTTAAACCCACGAAATCCCGTCTGCAACGACGCGTATCAAGTGAATAAACACTATGGCACGTTTTACTAACACGGAATACGCGGACATGCACTTCATGTACGGATTGGCAAATGGTAACGCACGAGCTGCACGACGAGCGTACGCTGAGCGGTATCCAAACCGTCAGTTACCCTGCAGACAGGTCTTTCAAGAAGTTCACTTCCGACTGTGCGAGACAGGGCAATTGCAGGTAAGCTGACGGAGGCTTAACTTTACACACAGATTCGTGATGCACATCGATACTTGGGTCATTTAAGCACCCATTTCGAAAAGTTTGTTTGTTTACACCGACCTCCTCCTATTTCGCAGCCCACTAGCGCCCGTGATCGCGATCGCCCGTTGGTAAATGCCTTAGAGGAGGATGTGTTGGAACGTTTCGAGGCAAACCCGCGTACTAGCACTCGACTTGTAGCAGATCAGGTGGGTTGTAGTCAACACACAGTGTGGAACATCGCCAACAACAACAACTTACACCCCTATAAGTTTAAGAAAGTGCAAGAGTTACGGCCGGGTGACCATGAAAGGAGGCTGGAATTCTGCAACTTAGTCGTCCAGGAGGAAGAAGCTAATCCGAACTTTCTGAGGAGCGTGCTAGTTACTGACGAGAAAGGATTCTCAAGAGAGGGGACCTTCAATCCTCGTAACAGCCACTACTGGGCGGAGCACAATCCTCATGAAACGTTTACGCGAGGATACCAGGACAAGTTTTCTTTAAACGTTTGGGCTGGCATCCTGGGGGACAACCTACTGGGGCCTTACATCCTCCCTCCGCGTCTAAATGCCCATAATTACCTGATTTTCCTGCGCGAGGTGCTACCAGAACTTTTAATGGATGTTCCAGTGAACTTGTACTGGGACCACTGGTTCCAGCACGATGGGTGCCCTGCTCACTACGGGCGGCAGGTGAGGGAACACTTGGACCAAACCTATCCGGACAGATGGATCGGCCGTGGAGGTGCGGTGGAGTGGCCTGCCCGCTCGCCCGACATCGCCCCATTAGATTTTTACTTGTGGGGTGTGATGGAAGCGCACGTCTACGAGACTCCCGTCGAATCCGAAGAGGACTTAATTGCGCGCGTCGTCATGGCCGGAGAGGCTGTTCGCCAGGACATAGGAGTCTTCACGCGAGTTCGAGGGGAGTGGTTGGCTAGATGTAGGAAGTGCATTGAGAACAACGGTGGCCACGTTGAACACTTGTAAACGTTATTGCTTTTGACTGTCGTTTTCCCTCCTTCCCTCCCATGTCGCTTCCTCGCGCTAACTCGCTCTGCATCGCTCCGCGCGAAACGTCGGTCGGTTGGGTTGCCTACATACAGGCGTGAAATTCCAGAAGATAAATTTGGTTCTGGCGCCCTTATTTTGGATTTCCGACCCCAAGTGTCCTATATGAAAAGACTTCCCCTAGGCACCCCCTATACGCTCCCAAACGATGGCAGGTACTATAGGAATCACCCTGTATACAGATCTGGAAACTCGAGGATGTTTCCTATATGAGAAGTGAGGCTCTTACGCGTCGCCGATCACGTAGTACAGTACCATAAAGTCGTTACTGGTGGAGCATGAGTCGAGGGATGTTCTTTGACAACTGTCATGGCTGACTTGTAACTGTAAACACAAGGACTACCGCAGAGTAAAAATAAAGATCTGAGTGGACTACCGCCGCCTTGAACTTCTACGGCTACGCAAAAATAAAACCGCTGCTTTGAGAAAAATGAGGAACATGGCTTGTAATTATAGACGGCTGTGATAGATTGCTATTTTTGACCTCTCTAAATTCAATTCGGAATTATCAGAAGCTTTACAATGATTTATATGACTTCTGCTATAAAATAAAGTTTTGTACTATACACGACGATAAAGGGAAACTAACCATCTCGTGAAAGTTAATTCTCTCACTTGTGAATTAACATCTTTCACTCAATGGTTAAAACATCCTTTATCGTCTTTTATAATAAATAACTATAAATTGCTTGTGGTTAGATTGTTCTACCCAACACCCTACTTAATTTCTCAATCTGCGATATGCTATCTTATGCGTCGTTGGGGTCATACCCATAGTTGCCTCCAATTATTGTCTCCAATCACTTTCTGAAAAAAACGCTAACATTATTGATGTGACATTGCTTGTTTACTTGAATCAATTCAAAGACATGGATACGGACAGTGAAAGTAATTGCTGTAGGCGTGATTTTCCTACATAGGTGCATTTAATATGCCTCTCCGAAAATTGCGGTCTAAACGACAAGAATTAACCTAGCAACATAAAAGTCCCGTTAAATTAGGTAGGAAAGGTAAACGAGCACTGCTAAGTAGACAGTGGTATAAATTTTTAAAAGAAAAACGGGACTTTCCTTCTCATTTCTTCCTCCTTTAGTAGGTTTCTCATGCGCAACGGGTTTGTAAAAACCTAATTCTTATTCTTAATTACACCAAAACCAAATTGGATGTCGCCCTTTTTGCACAACAATCACATGTGGAGGATGCAATTCATTTGTATGCAAACACTCCTCTCAAATCTTTACCGTTAGGTCCTATATACACGGCCGATGTGAATGTGAAACAAGAACTTAATTTTATCAAACGTATTTTCAGCTTGAACGAATATTATCATTACTACTACTTTGTCTTTTAATTTATTGAGTTGGTGTTAATTTAGCCTAGTTGCCTTCCAATATTTCCTCCTGCGACGTTAAAAATCCATAAAAGCAATTTACGTTGCGTGTACACTTTAATGAATCGGAAAGTTTTTATTGCCTTCATTATCAGATACATTTAATGGTGAGAACATAATTTTGAATGTTAACGTGACCGATGCTTGCTCCAGTTGTAAGTTAAAATCAAATCGAATAAACCGATACAACGAAATATCGAAGGATCCGCAGTATTACAATCATACTTTTAACGACAATTTATTTTAATCTTACAGAATACATTTTACACATGCATCAAATTCATGTCTTGGGCATTGAGATAATGCTCTTGATCTTTTTCCCAACGATCTTGGTGCATAAATAACGTATTTAATTATACAACAAAATTATTGCGGTTGAATTTACCTACTTAAAGTGAGCATGCAGGCTTAATATGCCCTTTTTTCTTGCAAGCCATACAAACTGCATTTCTGAAAAAACATTGTTGGCTGGAATGGTTGGCTTTACCGTAACATTTGCAGGACGTTTCCAAAGAGGAACAACTGGAGGGCACTGCTGTCGTTTTGTTGTATTTCCGCTCTCCGCCATGTTGGTAACAACGTCTATGGTACACCGATGGGGGAGTTGACCTTCGGGGATTCGAAGCGTTTGGTTTTTGAAGACCACGTTGTATTTTGCGTCTTATCCATTTAACTTCTTTTTCGGCTCTTTCCATATTTGTTGATAACTCCACTGCTTTTGCGTATGTTAAGTATGTTTCCGCGAATAAACATTGTTTAATTACGTCACTTTTAAGCCCGTACACTAATTGGTTCCGTAAATTTTCTTCTAAATTGGATCTAAAATTACCCGTTTTAGCTAAACTTTTTAATTCAGTGACATACTCGAATCGTCTCGGGAAATAATACCGCTCGGCTAAGAAAATCACTTCTCCGCCTTTTATTTCAATTTTTTTTGGTTTCAAGTGAAACATGGCTACAAGTTATGCATGCGTAAAAAACCGAAACCTGCTTACTCGATTCAAAATTAAAATGGACTAGCTAGGAAATGAACCTATACCACAGAGTAACTGACAGTGTTAATCTTATCATGAACAAAATATTTATGAGGATTAGTGGATGATTCACAAGAAAAAGGGGTTGTAATGAAGAATAGTGGTGCCTAAAGTATCGCCTTTCGTTTTCCAAGCCGGCATAGCTAGAAAATTGAGTTTAACTTCTAGCAGTGTTGAAACTCAGAACCGAAAAAAAACCATAAAAATCTTAAAAAATTGTAGATTCCGGTTCTCGGTAATTTTTTGAAGGGTTCTGTTTCTGATCCCTAAATCAAATCTAAGAAAAAAACTCAAATTAAGGAAATTGGTTGTGACATCATTCATTTAATAATTTCACCAGTTTGCGTTGACAAAAAACGACACTCTTTTGCTAGTAATGTGATAGCAATTTAATATATCAAATATATATATATATATCTACCAAGGCGGGTTGTTATTTAAAAAAATGCCCCCTTTGACTATGTGGAAATACATTTTCACCCTGTATATTAACATAACAAAGTGAATTTAGTTGAATGTTTTGAGAAATGGGAAAAAAGTGAAACGATCCACGGACCGCATTAAGGGCGCAATTCGCAATCTGCTCATGGGACGTTGATCATTTTTTCAAGGGTGAGCCAAGGAGAGCCGAGCAATACTACGGGTGGCCTCTGGGCCCACTCCCTCTGGGGGCGCCACAAGAAAAGATTCTTCAAAGTTCGGTTTAATATCTGCCTGCTGGTCAATGGCAACTCTTAAAATTTCGAATTTTACCATATTGACATTTACGAAGTTCAAAAACTAAAGGAATTTTGATCCTACAATCAGGTATAACACATACAGGGTGATTCAAATTGGAGGGCTACCATGGGGATTTCGGGAACTGTAAGAGATAGGTAGGTAGTTTAAATTTGGTAAAGTTGCGTATTTTGATGCTTAACAAAATGCAGTTTTGAAACTTCCGAAATTCCGACTACTTTCGGAGATATCCGGAAAAAGCCGAAGTGTTTACTGAAGTTATTTAAAAATGTATTTCGAAATAAATGATACATTATTATGGCCACTTTTATCCCTCTACAAGATGCTAGTTTAA